ATAGAAAATATTTATAGAAATTATAAAATGTCTTTTATTTCATGTTTCTAAAGTAACAATCATTTGTTTTATTCTGTTCAATAAATACGTTTACAGCTGTGTCTCATAATGTAACTGTAAAACTCATAATGTATTGCTGTTCTTTTCGTGATTTTGTGAAGGTTTTTCAAAAATCTGTATTCAATAAATTCATGTGTATCAATAGTCCTAAAAAAATATTATACATGGTATTTTCCAATCATGCTCGGTTTGTGATACAATTGGTAAAACAAAAAGCTTAATATGGTGCTTTTTATATACAAAACGGCCATACCGGGTGGTGATCAATTACTGGTGCACTAAGCCTATTTATAAAATAGTAAAAATCTATTATAATCCTTTTTACAGTAAATATGTAAAGTTTATAAACAAACAATATTTAAATAATCTGGACTTTGCTAAAAACTTTTAGGAATCAAAGTCTTACCAAACCATGGAGAGGAATAAGACTGGAGTAAAATGAATGACTACGCATGGATGAATATTTTGCTTAAGTTATAATGTGAGTCAGTAACATAAGCTTGAGTCAGCCCTGCTATATATAGACTTGGCTGTTACGTCATTGCCCCTCTGCTAGGACTCTTGGAAATGTTTATTAGCAAAGCCTCAACTCAGTATGTAATAAATGTTTAGTTTATTATTAGGGTTCAGAAATAAATTGAGTTGAAAACATTGAAAACTGATTTTCGCTTGACATAATATCATATTATAGCCTGTATATAAGAAAGTAAAATATTTAATCGTTAATGTACTGTAGTTAGATAAATATTATATTAATACACTTGATGGACATGGCTAGGCAGTCCTAGAGCCCTGAATGCAAATCTTGCCAATTGCTAATGCCAATAGATTTTAGCAAATAATGCAGTAACTCTGTGATATAGAGCTTACCCCCAGATAAGTAAGATACAGATGATACAAGCTCATGGGACAACCATGCACTTTTAGCTCTGGTATGTTGGAGTGGAAATGTACTAATATCGAGCAAGGAAGAGCCCGAAAACGATGGCCACATAGCATAGAGCGTGATCTCTGTAGTATAATTTGGCGAGGAAGAAAAGGAGAACGGAAGGGGATATGACAAATAGAATTGGCTCTAGACACCAGCGACTGGTGCTAGACACCTCTTAAGTGAACCATTGAATGTTTCATTGTTCTTACTTTTCTATTGCTTACACTATAGCTATGTAGAAAATTGCAAATTACTGTAGGTCTATACATTTCCTAGGTGAAAATTAGTGATGGGATAACCGAATGGTTTCCATGACCGAATAATCAATCAGTTATTTTTTGCGTCATTCGGTTATTTTTAGTTGAATGAATCACCGAATCAATTTTAGTTATTATTCACTATCACAAACTACAACTAATTTTTATCCCATGGGAAACTGAATTGCATTTAGTCTTTTAGCGTCAATCGGTGATTTTTAGTCAAACGAATCGCCGAATAAATTTTAGTTACTTGATATTGTGACAAACTAAATCAACTAAATAACTAAATCACCGAATCGCACGGTAAGACTAATTTAACCGAACCAGGATAAAATAACCGAATTAGTCTATTCAGCATCAATAACCGATTGATTCGGTTATTTTCATTCGGTGATTCCCACCACTAGTGAAAATAACTTTTTCTGAATTAAGCTTCCTTCAATGAAATCAATATAGTCAAATCAATTTAATTATCAATTATTTACAAAATAATTAATTACAGTGAAAGCTTTTGTGATGCTAAACTTCAATTCCCTAAAAATATGTGGTTATGATGAGAGGAAGCAAACATTAAAATTTATTGGCATTTGCATGCCACACCCTTTATTGACTAGCTCAGCGATGTAGGTACAGCAATAAATATTCTCTGCAATTTTGTTACAGGGTAAACAAATAACTTTATTATTGAACCTATTGATAAAATCAAATTTTAAACTGCCCCACAAATTATTGAATCAAATACAATAGGAGGAATAGGACATAGTGTAAAATTAAGTGATGGTGTGTTTATTATATCATGATAACATTGATAAAAGGAAATACTTAGTAGCATATTATGGCAATCAATAATGATGCTAGGTGATACCATAGAATAAACACACTTCCTTATTTGTGGGCCAGCTGCAGACAATCACAATGTTCCACCAGTTATGTTGTGGAAATTTTGCTGTTTTTTTATTCTTCTCATTTAACCCATTTCAAAATTACTTAAACCAAATAAACAATATAAAATTATATACATTTGCTAGTCCAGGAGTATTACAACCTAAAGGGCAAAGAAGGATTCCACCCAACAATTATAGAAAAACATCAGGTCGATATCAGCATACTCCGCCAATAACACCAAACATAAACTCATGTTCGATGAGATGTTGTGTGTACTATTCAAAATTAATGGTGATACTAGAGAACTGTTTTAACAATTTTTAAAAAGGGCAACTATTTTTTTCAAATTCTGCAATCATATCTCTTTGGAGAGCACATAAAACTACCACACAGTAAAATACATTACAAAAAATATTAGTACTAAAACACAATAAACATTCCCTTTTTTGTTGTGAACTTATTTGCAAGATTTTTCAATAGGTAGTTATTTGTGTAACTAGTGTGCCAAGTGGCACTTTGCTAGTGTTACACATTACATTTTCCTTCAGTTACTATAAAGCATATAAGTAATTAGTATTTCAAACACTATACAACACGTTTTTAGATTAGGTTATCTCCAAGTATTGAACAAAATGGGAAACACAGCTAATTGTAGTCGTATTATCTGTGTTGCCAACTTGTTTTTATGGGTACCGATACACGTATTATGTGCCTAATAAAGATTAAAAGCACACTGTTATGTGTTGTTTGGTTGGAATACTGGATTGCAGAAAAAAATGAGTGTAGTAAATGTAGCAATTAGCTTCTTTGTATGCTATAATCAGTCCAAGGAGCCCACTTTGTCAGGTAACTTTAGGGGGAAAAAATAATTCAAGTTAGTACAGTATTATTAATAAATCTTGTCATTCCTATGTTTGTAAATCAGTGTATTTGTTTGAGTATCCTCAAATCCAAGGTTTGTTGGTTCAATCCTAAACAATGTCAATTTTGGACGTGAGTAACACCATAGGGCTATCAATCAATGACAATATACAAAAGGTCAATCAATGTTAGATGTCAAACTAGACCAGAGCTGGGACAGTTCACCTACAAATAACATAAACAATGGCAATGTAGTTAACACACTGAATAATTGAGAAAATCGTCATTGATACAGTAAGTGGTAGTTTCACACTGAGACTGTGGCTGCAAGCGGTGACCCACTGACAAGCCAGACGGCAGTTTGGTAGTCAAGGTCATGTCTTCCCTATATGGCCTGACAAGGTATGGCACTCCTCATACTGTACCTGAGTACCTCGAGCATGTTATACAAATTGTATGTGAATGTCTTGTAAACAGTTTTAACCACTATATTCGTAGTGTTGTATTAAATATATTGAAAAGAGGTCAAATCTTAAAAATAATATTCTCATCAATTTTGGAATATAACAAATTTGTTCTTAACATTTTCTCCCCCCCCTCCCAAAAAAAAAAAAAAAATATATATATGTGTGTGTGTGCGGATATAAAAAGGAGAACTTCATCAGTTAAAAGATCAATAAAAAAAAAATTATCTCACTCCATTCAATACCCATCCTACACTCATATTTGTCAGTTCAAATATGCCTACTTGTGATGATATGGTACAAGGAGACCCTTCCCCAAATCGCTCATTGTAGATTTCAAAATTCATCTCTGAACCATAAGCAATATTGTAACAATATTGCCCTTTACCCTGTTATTTCTATTGTAGAACTAATACCATAAAGAATATAATTTTGGAACAAACCATAATCATGTTTCAGTTATCAAAAAAAGTTGTTATTTAACATATCCATTAACTCCAACTCACAATGAGAGAATGTGCATAAACATTCTCCCATCAAAAGAAAATCATCAACAATATAATCTAAGCATACAAACAAAGAATAAAAAGTGAACAAATTCTAAAGTAGGCATTTAATACACATTATAGGTGGTTGTTGTCGCGGACTTAGATGCAAAGTTGCTTTGGTTTGTTCACCGGCATATCCACAATCACTCGAGGGGTTTGAGTAGCTTACTCTTCAAGGGTTTATTTATTGTTACCAATAAAAACACTTTCAACAAAAAATAACACAAGTACCATTTGGTCTTAAAATAAGATTTGGAAATTCCAGTCTGCTGGCCGATGTGGATGTCACATGTGTTGTCTTGTGTGGGTTGTCCTACATTTGCATTGGCAGCTCTGGTAGATCATTGTATTTTGTCTGACATTTTTTTTTCTCGTATTTACGCCAGTGGCATTTTTGTAATAAAGTCAAACACTTTTAAGGGAACATCAGGACCTACAATTGGAGGCTCATAAGGTTAAGAACAAACCTATCCTAAAAGTCGATAAGAGAGCCTAGGAGCGTGATGGACTGCAAATTTATGGCAGCAAAGTAGCAGCAGATCATCTCACTACATCCTCACACTCACCATGCATTCATAGCAATTTAAAATGCATCCAAGTGTGTGTCACTGTCTCGAAGAATTTATTCATTGATTGTTAAAATCCTGCTACAGCCAATGCTAATATTTTTCTGTACTTTTCATTCTTCTGTACAGGCTTCACTTCACTTCAGACTTGCTTCATGCTTAAAAGGCTTCACTCTCAGGTTTGTGTATTTAGGCAAATACCAGGTCAATAAAGGCTGCCAACCTCTTTAAAAATTCCGTTATACACAATATTTTCTACATCACACTTAATGTATTCTGTATGAGACAATGTATTCAATATGTCCAAACATATTCTATACTACCTGATGCATTGTATGGCCAAAGTCATGATGTATGTTGCATGACATAATGTATTCTGTTTGACCCAATACACTCCACATGACATGATGTTTATTTTTTTACAGATGGAGGTTAGACTGTGGCTCTTATTTGTGCTGGGCTCTGCGGCGGCACAGCAAGCAGAGAAGCTAACACAGAACCCTTGTACAGTGAAGCAGACCTGCCACGAGTGTATACAGACTCCTACCTGCGCCTGGTGCTCACAGCCCACGGTAAACTCTCTATCCTGTCAAACTACGGATAAGAAATATGAATTATTTTAGTTTTCCCAACAACATCAGAAGTGTGCCAAGTTATTGAGAAAAAGGCAAAAAATTAAACTGAGGCATTATGGTACGATTTAGTTTATTTCCCATTTGTAGATAATGAATTTACCACGCCATAATATTTCTAACACACGAGTTTCACTTGTTGAAGAAAATATATATGACTTAAAAAAAATCTTGGTTGTAGTGCTGATTGACTGACTGAAGCTAATGTTTGAAGCCTCAGTCGTCAGGTATAAAAGCCCCACCTTATGTCTATAAGTAGCATTATGTTCTAACTGCAATAGTCCACTTAGCTCAATAGCTTGTCATCAGAATAGCTGATAGGGATAGAAAAACCACAGTAATAATAATAATCGTGACTGCAGGAGTATTGGGTGCTGAGTTTACTGGATTAACTGTTATCAAATGGACATAAACAATTGGATTGAGTGAAAGTTGAGATTAATACAAATCTTGTGGGTGTTTTGTTGCAGGGCTTTGACGACAATAGAAAACGATGCTTCCAGCCAGGTTCCAACCTGTTAGAGCAGTGTGACGAGGCGTATGTAGTCAACCCTGACAACGAGTACACATCGATACAGCAGAGAGCGTTGAGCAAGGGCAAACATCACTCAATGTACACCAACTACAGCTCATACAGCTCATCTAGCTCAAGTTCTAGCTCTAGCTCCAGCTCAAGCTCACAGAGCCATCAGGATGCTGTCCAGATCTCACCCCAACAAGTCAACTTGAAGCTGAGGATAAGTGAGTTTCTGTAATGAGATTGAGCCCATAATGCATAAATTTTGACTCTATATTTTTAGCCTGTTTTTAACAAACATTGCTTTTTTGCAATTTGTTAAATATTGCATAACGTGATTTAGTAGAGTGTACAATAATCTAGGAATACTAAGGCATCATTGATTCATTTTTTGGGTTGTAATTAGTAGGTATTATTATTTATTTTTCTTCCAATGTTTTTGGTAGTCCAAAGCACGTTTACTGAGAGTCGACTGTGATTAATTTATAACTGCAAATTCAATGCAATGCTTTGAAATAGAGATATTTCGATTCTCAATACCACCGCGTAAAAAGTCGATTCTGATACTGATACCCGACACAGCAAAGATCGACAATGACATTTCCTTGGTCGCGGGAGTCATTGATGATGACTACACAGACGCGGGAGATGGTCACAAAACACAATATTACCTCGAGTTTAGCGTGACAGAAAATATCAGACTGGCACACCTCTAGTCATAACAACATTTTCTTTTTGATGTTTGTTTTTAAATCTTCTTTGCCTGAACAAATTCTTTACCTCGATATAGTAGTTAACGTGTTTATATAAGGGCTTGTAAACTTCATTCAATTGACTAGTTAGAATTTTTTATTGCTGCAATAATATTTTACTCTACTTTAAATCACCTCACTACCTCAAAAATACTTCATGGAAGGACATAAAGACAGAGTTTGGTGTAGCATAACCAATCCATTCAGAAAAAAAATTAAAAAAATGGTATTGGTGTTGAGAATCTATGAATTTGTGTATTAACACACCACTCCCACATCTGAATTTTGAAAGTATTAAAATCCCTACATTTTGAACTGAGTTGTTATAAAAGATTTCACTTGAGTTAACCCTATTTACTCATGAAATTTAAATTGTCTTCCCTGTTAGATCAAGCGTACAAGCTGGAAGTGGCTTATGCTCAAGCGGAAGACTATCCCGTGGATCTCTACTACCTCATGGACCTCAGCAAGAGTATGGAGGATGACAAGGAGAAACTGTCGAGTCTAGGTGATGTCTTGGCCAGGAAGATGCAGAGTATTACGAGTAACTTCCGTCTGGGCTTCGGCAGCTTTGTAGACAAAGTGGTCATGCCTTACGTCAGCACTGTGCCCAAAAAGTAAGACTAACAGAGGTAAACTGTAGGTTGCGAGGAATAAATATCCTTTCAGGGTGTTTTTATACCAGAGAAGCTGATTTAATGGTAGAAATTAACATCGGTACATTATTCAATCTTCTCGTAGTGTATGCAATTTATATTGTTACACACTCTTTGGGATTGTTAAAGATTTTGTAGTCTGATAGCAATGAAACCGTGAAGTTTTAAAATAATAGGCATATGGTTAAATTTTTCTGGTTGGTTTCAAATTTTGAAAAATTAATTAGTTTGGATGAAACCTTAAACAAAGTAATTAGAGTAATGTGTATTGCCGTGTTGCATTAGAAGGAATTGTTAACTTCTATTATTTTTCAAAACAAAAATTATTTAAATACTCACTATTAGAATTTTACCCTTAACTTATAAAGTCTTTAACTTCTGTAGGCCTACTCATTGTGTATATCATATCTCAACCAAGGTTCTATTCCAATTATTTAATACTTATATTCTCCCTATTACTCCTTTTCCCTCTTTTTTCTAATCATTGTATCAGTACTGCTACAACCAAACATTGGGAGGATTTTTCAGACAATTTATTGCTGGATGAATCTAAATAATCTGATGTCTAATTCATTTTTAGACTAGAGGAGCCTTGCGATCAATGCAAAAAACCTTACGGCTTTCGAAATCACATGATGTTGACGACTGACACGGCCAGGTTCAACGTAAGTCATGAATGAGTCTCAGAATACATGTTAGCTTGTCGAGCTGTAAAAATAACGACACCTCTTGCTTTCAATATTGCACTAAATGTTGTCATCTGTATCACATGTCAAAACTGCACCAGTGCATGTCAACATCCTAATGTTGTCCTATACAGTATATATTTTATTATTTGATAATTCAATTTTTTATCATAGGCCTACTTTGTTTTACTAAATTTGTTTGGCCTTATTATTTTGTCATCTTTTGATTCGTCCAGATTTTTTTTTTAAAGTTTACCTGCCAGTTGCTGAAGGCAATATTTTAACATAGAAACAGAAAAGTAGTGTTTAGTCGATAAAATTTTGTTAAACATTCGAAATTATAAACTTGTCTATCTTATTATCAGTAAATAACAAACATTTTAATGACATAAATGATGTAACGACATTTGTTGTTTCATTTTTTTTACTAAATTATTAATATTTGAATATGCTCGACAACGGTTGAAAATCACTTTTAGTGCTCCAAAGTTGTTTTTGATAATATAGTTTGACTTCAGTGCAGTGTCATTAATTTGCTTCTAATTTATTGCAAAGCTAGATCATACAATGAAAATGATTCTAAAGTAGCAAGTAGTTGGTAAATAACCGGCTGGTAAATGTTGTTGTTGTTGAAGAGGTGTTGTTGTTTTTACAGGTCGGCAACAGCATGGGGAGGTTAGCAACTGGAGGACTCTGGTGTACAAATATTATCCTTTGTTGTTGTACATTGCTGTCAAATTAGGACACTGAATAATACAAAACATTCAGTGTAGATTAATACTCTTTATACAAATTGTTGCGTAGATTGTTAATTTGCTGAGTATATATGAATACACAAACCCTCTCGAGATCACATATTGTGAAACGGTAAAATTTGGCAAGTTTTTAGAAACTTTAAACTCAGGATATAATACACACTTTATTTTCATAGGTAAAGAATAAAATCAGCGTTTTGGCAAGAGAAAAAACTTCTTTGTGCTATCATGAACTGACAATAATAAAGTCTTACTGTTAAAACATTTTTGGTATAGCTTGTTTTCATTCATTCCGTCAGCACGTCACTGATTTGAGGCTTCCACAACATACATTGACAGCAGTGTGCACAACACCATATTTTATGTTGTGATGTTGGTATCTGCTATTGGTGTCAGCTGACGATTTTTCTGTTCCAGCCTGGCTGAACCTTGTACAGGCTGTGCGGCCCCTTACGGCTATCAGAATGTCATGTCTCTAAGTACCGATACCGGTAGATTCTCTGTAAGTCTCAAGTTGTTACCATTACCTTGCCGATAGAAACCTCTTGATCTTCTCAAACTATTTTTCATTTTTGATCTTTTTCCTGTGAAGATTTTGATTTTAAAGTGTTATGATTTATTTTCTTTCTTTCACTGTGACTTATGACATTGTTGACAACTTTAATCCACTGGTGACTTGATTTAAGATACATGTACAGTATATTTTGTATGCAAATACACATAAAACTCATTTAACCTGTGGGTTTTGATATTTAAGTCGTTTGAAAACCAAAAACAGATAGGAGATTAAGGTAATCAATGGTTTAAGCTAATCACTTCTGAATTATAAGTTTTCATTTAGTACTTTTTGATAATATTCATAATTATAAAGCCTTTTTATTAATAAGTTAATTTTAATTAACATTAAGATAACTCTGATCTCTTTAAAGTTTACTGTGTTTGTCATATTTGTTTGTATTTGTCTTTACTTGCTCAGAATCATTTTATCAAATACAACATAAGTGTTACAATACCTCTGTTTTGTCTATATTTAAGTGCTAGTTTAGATTCACAAATTAAGAAACATATGCGCTCATTGGTGTAGTGGGCTGGGAACGATTTTCCCACTCTGGTTTTTCTAAGTATCCAATATATTAAATTGGTGGCCCATATTTTTTTATGCCATAAAATAATGACTGAATAATTTGTAACAATTATAAATACCATTCAAATAAGTACATCTTCTGCGATGGGATCAAATAAAAAAAACTCGCGTAGTCGAGAGAAAATCGAGAACTTCTGTGTTTGCAGCAAAATGACGAGCGTTACCCGTGACCTGTATTTACATTCTTATGGAAACCAAATTCTCTGTGGAATCGCATTGACATAACAGAGGTTTTGCAACCTTTTTGGTTTATTTTGTTCAGATGGCTATGTGGCTTCATAAGAAGGGTTACTAGCTTTGAATGTTTTGCTAGCTTAAGTCATTATCAGATTAATATGATGTAATTTTACATCGAATCACCATGATACTGTGACTTGTCCTGATACACAAGAACTATTATTGACCATGAGCAACAATTAACTAAGTTATTATTACTACCCAAACAAAGACATAACCTTCATTGAAGTGCAGTTTGAGTTCAGATTACAGTCAGACTGTCTTACCTATTTAGACCAAGACCTTACCATGGTTTGATATCTATGAGACATAGGTTGCGGGAATGTTCTATGGCACTTGCACTTTTTTCCAGTGCTATAAAAGTCATGACCCCTCTCTTACTTCTCTTTATTTACATAGTTTCTCTCACTGAGTTAAGAAAAAATTACTACATACAAAAAGATTCAATTTACTTTTCAGACTGATGATATCATCATTGACCAAACATGACTATCATTTGACGTAGTATTGAATGGGTGTCTGCTGTTTTGTTTGAAAGGTGGCCTAAGACTGAGGGTTTTGTGTTGTATGGAGACAGTATTTTTACCAATAAAATTTAAGAATAATGTTCTGTCTGCAGTGTGCGTTTTTAAATAGTTTTTTTTTTTTTTTTTTTTTTTTTGCTACCGTTTGAAATTGTTGAAATTAATAGTCTATTAATATCATTATCATCCATATTTTTGAAAAAAATATCTTCATTCTGTGGTATTAAACTTTACATTGATGGGTTGTTCCCTCAAAAAAATAGTAAAGTCATTCACCTGTGTTCTGACCTTATTTTTTTTTTTTTTTTTTTACATTAAGTCTTTTGATTTATGCCAGTTAATAAACAATTGTTTTTCATATGACATATTTATAGGGAATTTACAGTAATTTACTAGACTGAATTGAATTTCATACTACAGTTAAACCTCATTAAAAGATTATACTGTTCCTTATTAAAGAAAAAAAGAATCACTCTACAAACTGTTCATTACTTGCAAAATAGTATTACTCACATAAGTCAGTATAGAAGAAAAAGTAAATTACTTACGTAACCCAGCCTGTTGTAGTTGTTAACTTCTTAACTTCTCCTTTTCTCTTCTATCCTGCTTTAACTTCTTTCTTTTATTTTCTCAAGAGGATGCTAGTGGCAAGGAAGTGGTTGTCCCTAAAAGCACATTTTTCCTTTTTGAAATCCCAAAATAACACAAGTTGATTTTAAGCACATTTTTGCGGTGACATAAGTTTGCTTTTTAGAGTGAAATGTTTTTTGTCTAATTCTAATCAAATTGATTCTGATTCTAATTAAATTGATTCCATAACCTAGCTGAAAATGTGACTAGGCGAAAATAATGACCTAAACGTGTTTTATATTTGTATATAAATACATGTAAATATTTTAGTGAACACGATAATGCAAATGCTTTATTGCTTGTTGTATGTATTTGTAAAGTTAAAGGTTACTAGTTGTTTAATCTGTAATGCTTTGGTGTTGGAATAGCTTGGTTTACTTAAAATTCAATTTAAATATTTAGTAAGGTTAAATACAACATCTTGTCTTTTGAAAATCTAGCAATTGTATATTATTTAAAATTAAACTACATGTCTAATCATTCTGTAATGATTATTCAATTCATTAAAAAATCATACTGCAATTTTATATACTTTCTTTTTATTAATTTGTTTGTGGACCGTTATAAATACACAAAGTTTACTTAATCTATTTAAACTGATGGGAAATCAAGTAAATGTGCAGACTTGTCATTGCTTGCTATGTTGCATGTGCATGTTATTTTAGTGTTGTTTTATTATTTTATTCAACCTTAGGTAGGTATTGATTTAGTAAATCACGTTAGATTTAGAATTTTTTAAGATTATTTAAAAAGATAGAGGCATGCTGGTTTTGTGGTTAGAGTGACTTTTGTGTTTGAAGTTTGAGTCCAAATTTCGCTAATCAAAGGCTACAGTAGAACTCTAATTATTCAAACTCCCAACTATGAAGTTTGTTTTGTAGATTACAGTTAGTTCCTTAGGGGTTTTATTTTTACCTATTCTTTTGGCAATAGAACTTTTTTAAATACATCTTAAATGAAATGGCGACAATTTTTATATAATCAATAAATTTTTGAAATGATTTAATCTTATATATGTATAGACAAATGGCGATTAACTTTTAAATGAGCTAAATATTAGCATGGGCTCAGTTTTACAAACATAAATAATATAGTTTTTTATATGTATTCAGTGTATTAACAAAAATTGTGTTGTCTTCCAAAAAAGATTAGTATCTAACTAAGTTTTGTTGTGTTCTTGGTAAATATTTCTTGTAAAATATGGGTTGTGTTTGTGTGTGCTGTCCATGTAAGTGTAAATATTTACCAAAACAATTTTCACTCACCACTGCTGTACCTCAACTTCATTGTCAATTAGGTTCAAAATGTGAGAACATGATATTTAAATATTTCTTTGGGTTTATAGTATAATATCCCAATTTTCTGTCAAAGCAGTGTAAATAATTTATCACACAAACAACAGTTTGTCAATGGTGATGAGTGACAGTAGATGGTAGAGGTTGAAGATCACAGCTTGTTGACGTGGACTATCTCTAGGGGGAAGTCCACAATGCTGCAGTCTCCGGTAATCTGGATGCTCCAGAGGGCGGTTTTGATGCGATCATGCAGGCGATTGTCTGTCGCGAACAGATCGGATGGAGGGAGAAGGCTCGAAAACTACTTGTCTTCTCCACTGATGCTGGTTTTCACTACGCTGGTGACGGAAAGGTAAGAGTATCTAATTTAGCTCCACTTTATTTACTTATATTTTAAAATTCTTATTCATTCTGTTCAGTTTCTGCTCAATCAATTGGCTGGCCAGCTGTACTGACCAGTTATTCATCAGTTAGTTTAAAAATTAAATTGGTTGTCTTTACTACTTGATTTCTAGTGGTACTGCCATGTTTTGTCACTCAAAATTTCATTTATATTTATTTCTGCTGGTGGTGACATCTAGTAAGCAACATAGGAACCAAAATTTTGAGCTGGTGGAAAGAAGATGGCTTTTGAGCTGATACAAAGAAAAAGGTGGCTGTGGCATTGGCCATAGGAGCGGTAGAAACAGCTGATATTGAAAAAATTTTGGCTGTTTATGGTAACAATAGTCATTACAACTGGCAAACTGAAGGGACTAAAATTAAATAAAAGCTCTATCAAGTATTTTGAAAGACGTGATTGTGATAAATAATTCTAGAGATGGCCTGATAAAAAAAAACAAAAAAAAAAACTGCTAATCTCAGTAACTAACAAGGCTTTAATCACACTAATAATATATCCTGTCACTTGAGTAAATTTAACATCTGTAATCCTCCAAATACCTCCGATGCATAATTAGTTTACCATGCAACATATACTACCTTGTGAGCAACAATTAGCTCATCTAAAACCATAGTGCAATGGTTTGGTGCCCCACAAAAATATTTTGTGTGTAAATGAAATGTTAATATTTTTCTTTGTTTTAATTAAAGCATATTTAAAAGGATTTTTGTAAGTATTTACCCCCCTCCCCTTTCCCCCAATATTTTTAAATCCCTCCTGCATATTTTTTTATATGCCCTGAATGTTTCAATGAGTCAACCACAGCATGAATTAATAGGTTTGTAGAGTATTCCTAGTGGTGTTTAAAATGCATTATGGAAACAATGTTTGAACAATAGTTTCCCCGGACCAGTTTTACTAGATGCTTGTGTAGCATTTGTACCCCTTACGAGTTGTTGTTTAAATTGTACCATTATTTATAACCTTAAAACGGTTTGAATTGAATATTATTTTGATGCATTTTATGTGTTTCAAAATCTTGCCTGACTTTTGATACAAATTATAATTAATTTGTTTAAAGAGTTTGGTAGCCCATTTGATGTTCCTTCATTGACCTTGGCTTTCAAGTAAACACGCCACCTTAATAAACCAACTGTAGTCAGTTTTTTCTCAGAGAAGTGATGTAAGTATGTACAAGTCAATGATACAATACTTCCTATTTATAAGAGACCACAATAATTGTTATAGGAAGTTAATAGGTTTTATAAAATTCATGAATATTAATTTTTAGATCTGTGTAAATGTGTCATAGTTTGAATTGCCATGTTTCAGCTGGGAGGCATTGTCAAGCCCAATGACGGTCTGTGCCATCTGAGCAACGATGGTACATACACTCACTCTACTCTACAGGACTATCCATCTATATCTCAGGTGTGTAATTTGTTGCTCTCTTAATCTTACTTTTTGTTTCTTCCAAAGGTAAATTTGATTTATAACTACTTCCAAAAGTAACCAGCACTGTGCTACATATTCAGACAAAATGTGATTGTCAATCATCCCAAAGAATATAACTACTAATAAAATGTCATCACTTCCTGGAAATTAATGAATTTGTTTTAAGTTGCTTCGTGAATGATTCCATTACACAACACAACATTTATCATATCGATGTGGTTGAGTTATCGGTTTATTTCTTTAATTGAGGTGTTTGGGAAGACATTCCACTGAAGCATGTTACAATGTTCAAATGTAATTTGTTAGCAAAATAAGGTCTTTAAACTATTTGTAATAAGTAAATGCACATTCTATCATAATGGACACCATCGGTTTGGCTAAAACTATTGATGCTTGGATTGGATTTGTTTATCTGCAGGGATGGATAATAGAGATTGATGGCTTAAGTATTTACTGTTAACTTCTGTCCTTCATTTTGTCCTTATTGATGTAGTGATACTTATTGAGAAATCCCATATACACTTGTAAAATAGTAAATTTCAGCACAAAACATAAAAAATTGCTTAAGAAATTAATAATCACTAGTGGCCTGTAGGGGCCATAGCCCCTAATTTAGACTACAATAAAAAACCATATATAAAAAGACAAATATTCGAAATATTTTTTTAAAATTATCAATTTTATGTTAGCCTACTTGAAATTAACAGCGTTTCTTGTTTTATATTTTGGTTTTCCTTCCATTGGAGTTGTATATTAGTTGCTTCTGATGTGCCATTGAAATACAATTGTAAAATAATGATAAAATCAATATCACAACATATTAACAAAATGGAAACGTGCACACGGTTTGGCCTGAAGCCGGAGAACGACGAATCAGAGCTGAAATCATACAGCCAAACGTTGCACATCCTTTATAGTTTAAAATTGAAGATTTGTTTTGTAATCTTACGAATTCTGTTATAGTTTCCATTTTGAGAACCAAATTTAAAGGTTAAAATTATTATTAATTACTATGAAGGCAACTCCCCATTTTGCGGTAGTAAGTCAGAAATATATCTATGCATTTGTCCCTGAATTTTAAGACAGTAAGGCCCATTTCCCGGAATCTCTTTTTGTGTAGCAGAAAGCGACGCAAAAGCCATTGCACTGTTGTTTTGCCTTTTGTTTTTTTATGAAGTTTGAACCATGTAAAAACAGTTCTTTTAGTTCGTCATTTACTTGTGGTTGTAGCATGTCCATTGTGGCAACATGCGTTGAAATGTCCATTTGTGGCCTCCTCTGCGAAGTGAAATGCGCCACAATGCATGCAAGTGCCTTAAGAGGACCTAGATTGTGAGAAACAACACTCAACTCATTTTCCAGCGTTCTTCTAAAGACATGTTGTAAAACAGCTTCTGGACTTCTTTCACAGCTAGGCCCTACATGACGTTCTCTTTTGCATTTCTTAAGTCTGTTGAATTCCTGGACACTCTTCCACATCTTGCAGGTCTTCCCCTAGTTTGTCTAGTTACTCTTCACTCATTATAAAAAAGGAAAACAAAAAAATTAAACACAATTCATTTTGAAACATTATTTACCAACATTGACTTTCGGATTAAACGTAAACATTGCAAATAAATAAGTAACAGCTGATAGAATGCAGACGTTTTTCAGTCCCCATGCATTTCTTATGGTGGATATTTTACGTTATACCTCGTTTTCTGGTAACTTTATGGGAATTCTGCTATTTTTCCCGAGTCCCTGGGGTCAAGACCTTTAATTTAAGACCCCTCCCACCTTTCTGTGACTTACCAGACGTCCACAATTTTCTGGTAAAAATTTTGTCTTACAGAATTATATATAAGGATTGTGTCTTTTACCACAGAGAAGTAAAATACGCAGAGGAATGGTTATGGAACAACCGTGCGCTTTTAGTTCGGGAATGGTCTGGCGGAAACATACTAGTACCGAGCCAGGAAGAGCCCGAACGGCTATTGTTTGCAACAGCAGTTGTACCGCATGTGATCTTCCTACAGCGTGAGCCCTTTAGTACGTGATGCTGAGGGGGGAGAGGAGAGCGGAAGGAAACGACCAATAGAATCTATACTAGAAACAAGCGACTGGTGCTAGACACGGTTCAATTGTACCATTGAATGTTTTCTCTGTATCTTACTTCTCTGTGCTTTTACTGAAGTAACTAATATATATATATATATATATATACTGTATATGTGTTATTAAAATTACTCAGGAATGATAAGGGGATTATCAACATTGAATTTTTGTTTGACTTCACAACAGATAAACCTAAAAGTGAAGCAGAACGCCATCAACATTATCTTCGCAGTGACTCAGGAACAGTCAGGGGTGTACCACCGACTACACAAGCATATAGAGGGTAGCACTAGTGGTACTCTGAGTAATGACTCCAGCAACGTGGTGGAGCTGGTGCAGGAACAGTACGATGTGAGTACCGGTACTTACATCATAACATTAATCCTCATTTTAAATAGAAGGTTTGTGGCAGATTATTATATGGCATTATTTATAACTCGTAATATAAAATACCGAATTTCCATTTACCTGGTTGTATTCATACTAAAATATTCCCTTAAAATTGTCAGATTTATTTCCTATTTAAATAACATTAATTTTAATGAGTAGGCTACTTAGGTTTGCTGCTACAGGGAAGGTATTGAGGTTTTTTTTCAATGTTGATAGGTTAATATGAAATTAACAAAATTGCCAAATTTGATTAAAATATCCAGTGCTCTATTTGTGGTGTAACGCGGCGGAACGGAATTCCAGTACCTCTCTTTTCGGATAGATAAAAATGTTGGCATAAATAGGTACAAATCACATAATAGGTTACAGTTCCGGCACCTCGTTTTTTACAATTCGAGCACTGAAAATATCTATACTATAATACAAGTAACGTTTGCGCACAATGATTTCAAAACCGGCTCCTATAATTTCCTCTGAATAGTTAGAAATATCTTAGTTTCAGGCTAAAAACAATATCCATGCTAGCCACTGTTCTGGGAAAATTTGTTCCTACATTCTACATGAATCCTACATGAATGGTTTGATTAGACAGTGACCTTTTTATCATCCGAGTAAAAACAAAGTCACAAAAAAGTTACCCACCTAACTGCGAAAACAGTGAATGATCTGTGAATTTTGCAATTAATAAGGTTTTCCAGTTCTAATACCTCCAAACTTTTGAAACCGGTGATAGGCCTATCAAAAAATTGTCAATTCTCAATGTCTTTTGATTCAATACCAATTCCAAAATCCCCCACCTTTACATTGACATTGTCAATTTTAAACGCACAATTTTTGCAGACTTCTGCTTTATAATCCCAAGATTTCAATCCCGAAATTACCAAAATTCTGTCAAAAAAGGAAATAAAAATTTCTCAAATTTTCTGGTATTGAAAGTTGTTATTTCATATACCGTAATTTATAAGTGAAATAATAATATTTATTACATTGGTCTAATTAATATAATTGTACACTTAAATTTAAAAACCATGGGGACCTATATGCAAACTGTACAAGTAAATAGTCAACATCACTGGATATTTAAAGTATAATCTAGAAACTCTCTTAGGTTAAACAACTTCTTATTCAAAATGTATTATGTTTCTCCAGAAAATCAAGTCATCAGTGGAGATGAAGGATACAGCGTCCAGCAATGTCAAGATGACGTACTACTCTCACTGCCTCAACTCAAATGGACCTCTCGTACAGACCAACAAATGTGACGGGCTGAAGGTATGAGCATAAACAACTACAGTATACACATTGGATACAGATTCAAAATTTTAATTCTTTATTAACTCATAACATCTTTTGTAGTAAAATACCCATGGATAGAAGTTTAGTTAATATTCATTATGATAAAAATAATTGCATTTAACATTTTAAAATATTATAGTAACAAAAGTATAATAGTTTTTGCTTTAAAAAATGTTGTTAAACTAAGTTTAAAACTACATGGAGATACCAATCTGCTTTGTATCAGGAGATGATATTATGCCACTTAACTGCAAATGATTTGACTACAACAAAAGAATTGAGTAGGTAACTCTTCTTTTAATAAAATAAACTACCAAAATCATTGAGAAAGAATTCCTCGATGCTATAATAAGATTTATCCGATAATAATTTATCTACAAATTTAACATTTACAAAATTTTTCAAAGAATATTTGCTACTGTTTTTTATATCTTGTTAATAATTTTGATTGGGGAGCGAGCTGGTGTAGTGGTTAGAGCAAAGCCCTGAGGTCCTGGGTTCAAATCCCGCCAAATCACCAATGGATTTTATCTAAGTGATAGTGCCGCAACCCCTAGGTCTAGCCTGAAATAATGTGAAAACAATCCCAGGCTCGTGCCTAGCATCCTAGGACAAAAAAAAAAATATAATTTTGACCAGGCCTACCTTGTAATTTAGACTATTATTTAGAAAAGGTCTACAGTGTGTATAGGTTTGAGTATAGGTTTGAGTGGTGTGTGTAATAGTTGTGGTTAAATTTAAACTTTTCAAAGTTATCTTGATCATTGTAAAAAGGAACTTGAAAAATTCTATGATTCCATATTCTTTGATAATGATCTATAGCTTAAAACCTTAGCTACTATCATCCCCACTGATATTATGCTCAGAGAAGTTTTTTTCTGTTTTGGAATTGGGTCCCCAAACAACAATACAGAAGGAGATATCCCACCTTTGAGAACTAATTTGAGCTAATTTCTTATTAAAAGAAAACATTTATGATATGTCTAGAACATGGAACCTCTGTTCTGGAGGCTCATATTTCAATCCGGTCGATCGCCGAAGGCTTGTATCTATTAAATGATGCCATAACCAGGGTGTTCGGACCACACCTATTTACAAAACTAAATGACAGGTCTCTCAAATGATAGTATTCTGTTTGTCTGAGTACTCCATCTACTCTACCAAAGAATTTCAGAGATCAATTGTAAATTAACCTCTCAAAAAGGGTGCTAGTATCTAAATTATATTTTCTGTAATTTTTGTACTTTGGTATGTACTTAAATGACTACGTAATGCAATATTTGCCACAACATACATGTTGTCACTGAGGTACTATGGAATTTATTTTACTATACTAGGCCCTATTTTTAATTTACGTAACGGTTCAATATTTTCCACCTGTAATTCTTTATCACTACCTACCTAGATTTTACCATTTTCCCCAGGTCGGAGACGAAATTAAGTTTGAGGTGTTGGTGGAAGTAAAAGCTTGTCCGGAGGATCCGGCCAAGTGGAAGGAAACCTTTGAAATCTACCCAGTGGGAATCAACGAAAGTCTTACAGTGAACCTAGAAATGCTCTGCTCTTGTCCTTGTGAACGTCCTGGAAACCCGGTAAGCAATTTCCATTACTGGTTTATTTCATGGTTATTACTGGCCTTTTACAAGGTTTATTTTACAACTCATTTTGCATTTTCCAAATTTTTTTGTAAAGAAACAATTCAAACTCCAGTGATGTTTCCAACTAATATGAATCTTGTAATGGTCTTGGATATCAACTGGACATGTAAAGTAAAACAAGTTACTGAAATCCTTCTTTATATTGTAGAACCTGCTCTATGTCAATTTAATTTAAATTAGTATCTTACATGTTTTATGGCATGTTCAGGGGTACAAGGAGCGAGCTGAGGAGTGTTCAGGAGTGGGTACCTACACCTGTGGTATCTGTGAATGTGACGCTTCTCACTTCGGCAGAACTTGCGAGTGTAGCAGTGATAACATCAAGGGCAGCGAACAGGTAACTGGCTCAGATACATTTCAATTACCAATAGATTGGATGAGATTCTAAGATTCTCAGAATCACGCTTTTATTTAACAAACTAAACAATCCTGTATAAAATTATTTAAATTTAAAGGATTGAAAATGTGAATGTAACCATTCATTTACTTCTTGCAAAATTTACTATTGGTACAAGTCTATTTTTTATGAGTGAAAATCATAACTACTACAATTAATATACAATACATCAAAGTTAGCTGCATCCTCCCATTGGTAGGCTTGCCTTATTTGAAACTTTTGATTTAAAATAGACTAGAAGTCAGAGTATTTTTGTAAATAATGGTTTTTATGATACTTTTGTACATTTTAAAATTCAATATTTTGTAACTACAGAAAACACAGAGTTAGGATTTGTATGTATGATGGGACTGGAAATATGATTTAAATAGGCATACAATTAATTGAAGATATTTTTATGTTTTATTCTATTCTGAGCAATATATTGTCTAACAGGACTTGACTGCTGGATGCCGACCAGACAACACTACAATGGTGGACTGTTCAGGCAGAGGCTCCTGTATATGTGGCCAGTGCTACTGTGACTCTAGGCAGAATGAGGGAGAGGTCAGTTCAGCAGAAAGATCGGGCATTGGCTTCTCGTACTGAGCGATGATGCTGCCGAAGAGCTCATCAGATCCCAGTACAGGACATAAGAAAGTCGATTACAAATCCAAAACTAAATTAAACTAAACAATTGAAACTTACTTCAGTACTGGCACCCTCATTCAAGTATTCTTAGTTTATTATATTGTAGATTTATTTAACTCACTCTATATTAATTGTTCATGTTCATTTTAGTAATTTTTTACCAACGTTAGGGGATTTTTATTTTTATTATTTGTTTATTTAGTAGAGATGGGCCGATTCCTGAATTGGTCGATTCCGATACCGATTCCGATTCTACAACTTTGGTTTCGATTCTTGATTCCGCACTCGATACCGATACCTGTTAAAAATTTGTTTAATAACACATAAACTTATGATATAACTTTATTTAATCTTTATACAATAAGATAACTGCATTGTATTGATGATTAAGGTTACATAGATTAGGTTAGCCAATAAGGAAAATAAGATAGGGCTATTTCAAGAAGACGTTAATTTTAACATATTTTATTAAATTAAATTGAGCACAATCACCAATTTAGGTAGGCCTAAAATGGTCACAGAGTTTTTGTTTTTCATAAGAATTCATAATTCGTACATCTAGGCCTACAATGAATGTTCCATATTGCTTGAGTTATAAACTCAAAGTCATCTTCAATATTGTCATCATCAATATCACTTAAAGAATCATATAAAAAAGTCATGGAGTTCGTCACATCACTAGAACGGAACGGAGTCCGGAGTTGGAGATCATAATCATAATCCATTTTGAACAACTCACTATGCACGCACAGAAAACAAACAACAACAAAACCAAAACATAGGTTAAACAATTCATTTGTCATTTGCAAACTCATGACAGCTGTTTCAGTTCAGTCAGAGAGAAACAACTACGATAAAAATATAAAAAGAGATCCTACAATAGTCACCATGAAGCCCTGAATTAGCTGAACAGTTCGTGGGGTCTCATATCTTATAATGTCATAGCTTATAATCGTGAATTTGTTCCATAGATTATTATCAGTTATAAGCTATGCCACACTTTCATAAAAAATTATAAGCTGTGCCACAATTTGGAGTTAGAAAATGTGAGTTAAACTAGTACCATTGACTATATACACCTTATGTGTATTATATGTATATATTAAATGCTTGTACCATCTGGCAACATTGCCTTTGATCTGACAACATGGCGGCAACTAGAGTTCTGTTACTGCTAGTTGTCACTGTTGTCAACGTCAACTGAACACAGCTCGTCAATCGTCATACCGTCATTGCTACTCGTGAAATGCAAAGGCAATCTATTTTGGATTATAAAACTATTACGAATGTGAAATAAATAATGAACTTGGAATTATTTATATTAGCTGACTTCAGAGTATTCCAAATAAACTATGATGTGCCACTCTTTACAACCTTCAATGTCAATTGAGTTTAGCATTATAATTAACCTCACTTTTCAGAATCGGTATCGAGTACAATGAAGCGAAGTATCGAGTATTGGCGATTCTTCGATACCACTGGTATCGAAGGTATCGAGGTATCGAGAATCGGAATCAGCCCATCCCTATTATTTAGTTATCTTGTCCGTGAAGTGGTGAGCGACAAAGACTCTCCCCACACGCAGACATATAGTGTTTTTGGGGATTTTGTTTCCTTGTTGTTTCCTTTGTATATTTGTTTTAAGCCAAGATTGAAATCTCTGACTTGTAATTTTGGAAATAAATAAAGTTAGCTGCTGATTATAGGATAATTAGAGTATTTGATATTTAACAGCATGTCTGCATTTGTAGAATGTGAAGGAAGTGTTTGAAAAAGCAAATGCATTGGTTTGGGGTAAGGGAAGGTCCAGGTAATCGGTTTACGTTCAGAGAAAATCAGAGGATTGGTTTTGGGTCAGGTATAAGATCATCAAAAGCCAAGGGAAATGCCAAGGGTACAATAAGGTCAGAGAAATAGTTCTAGGGCTAGATAAAATCGTTGGTAAGGGAAAGTCAGGAATTGGTCTAGGGTCGTGGGAAAATGAAGGGATTGTTATCGGATCCGTGAAAGTCAGGAGAGTTGGTGTACAATCAGTGCAGGTTAGGTAAAGTCTAGGAAGTATTTGATAAAATTTTCTTAAATTAAAAAATTTGAGGAAGTAAATGAAAGAAAGAGAACACATTCTACTATTGAGTTGAATAAGTTATTGAGAACTAACAATTAAAACATTATAAGAAAAGTACACTATTTTCAAAATTGTTTTACATAGGGGTGTGCAATGCATCAAAAATGTATCAAAATTCAGATTCGATTTGATTTTTGATTCTATGCATAAAATCGCGATTCGATTCAGTGGTGGTAAAAAACAACTCGATTCACTAATTAGTCAAATGTTTCTGCACTCATTCACTCTATGTTTCCTTTCAGAAAATCACTGGGCAATTCTGTGAGTGTGACAACTTCTCATGTGACCGACACAACGGAGTGTTGTGTTCAGGACCTGACCACGGCACTTGTGAGTGTGGCAAGTGTATATGTAACCCAGGCTGGACAGGCAGTGCGTGCGACTGTAGGGCCACCAATGACACTTGTATACCTCCAGGTAAGCGATAGTGTGTAAAAGTGTTAGTTGAATCTCTATCCTATGATTGTTAGTGGATTTTTTCAAAGTGTCCACTTCTTACAAGCCAAAAACACTGCTCTTTGTTGATGTATGCATATTTTTATCAGTGGGAAAAAATAACTCTTGAAAATTTTTCCCTTTTTAACAAACTCTTGATTGTACTGGTAAACTAACATCTTTTTAAATGAATTAACAAATATAATATATAAGACTTACCGTCTTGAAGCAATCCAGTTTTTGTACTTAGTGTACAGCTGTTTCGGCTTCATAAAGCCATCTTCAGCACATTCTTCTAAGGTCAATTCATTATAAATATGCGAACATTCTGGTTCTTGTCAACTTTTTACAACACATTTTACACATAAAAGATGAAAACATAAACTTTGGTAGGCCTACCCTACTTGTATGTCGCGACATACAAGTAGGGTAGGCCTACCAAAGTTTATGTTTTCATCTTTTATGTGTAAAATGTGTTGTAAAAAGTTGACAAGAACCAGAATGTTCGCATATTTATAATGAATTGACCTTAGAAGAATGTGCTGAAGATGGCTTTATGAAGCCGAAACAGCTGTACACTAAGTACAAAAACTGGATTGCTTCAAGACGGTAAGTCTTATCCTACTAATATTATAAATGAGAAAGTTTGGATGTATGGATATATGGATGTATGGATGTATGTTTGTGACAAGTGAACGCGAAAAATACTGGTCGGATTGGGCTGAAATTTGGCATGATGATAGCTCACATTCCCGATTAACATATAGGCATATTCTTATTTCAAAAATCCTTTCGGGCTCCGCCCCAGTGGCTCTGGAGTTTCCCATGTTAACCTAATGAGAAATGGAATTATTGAATCTTAACAGCTGTTTCAATTAAACAAGTTGGTCCTGTTCTATGATGTTCAATAGCATTAAAGTTACAAGGATTACCAACAGGGTGCAGCACTATTATTTCTTTTACATTTATGACAACAGCTAATTTGCAACCAAAAGGTGAGTGAGCGTAGCGAACGAACTTCAACCTGGAGGCGAGTTAGCGAAGCGAACGAGCTAAACTGAAGGCAAGTAAGCGCAGCGAACGAGCTCCAACCTAAAGGTGAGTGAGCGTAGCGAACGAGCTCCAACCTAAAGGTGAGTGAGCGTAGCGAACAAACTTCAACAATGACGTGATTGAGCCATGCGAACGAGATAATCTTGAAAATTAAGAAGTTAAACGGGGCAAAGCCCGTGGGTTACAGCTAGTATATTATATTATTTAAAAAGCAAATCCTGGTCAGCCAACCACAAAGTATGAATTAACAAACCACTGCATCAAGCCATGTAATCATGAGTGGCCGATGGGGGGCTTTTTCTGCATTTTATTTTTATTTTGTGTTCATTTACCATTGCCATTGTTGAGTTTTTTGTGTAAGATAATGGTTCAAACCTTTGACTTGTTACCAACAAACATAAACTTTTTGTTACCTGCACCCTTTGTAGACCTATTGTTTCTACCATTTTAAACTGTTCTCAATATGTAAAAAAATATATTCACACACCTGAGCTTTGAAACATTGCTAATATTTAGGAAAAGCCCATATTTGAATACATTAAAAAAACTCTTTGTGTAAATTAAATGTGTTGAATGTATTGTGATTATTTCTGGTTGTGAAGTTATTATGGTTGCAGGTGGTGGAGAGATCTGCAGCGGCCACGGCACCTGTGAGTGTGGCGCCTGCAAGTGTAAGAGCGACCAGAACGGCCACTTCAGCGGACGCTATTGCGACAAGTGCCCAGTAAGCTCTAAACTCATCTATCATAGAATACTTTTTAACGAAGTGTAGTTTTGTATTCTCTCTAACTTTAAAAAGTCTTCAGCATTTTGTAATTTAAATTAGTGGATAAGATGTTTAATGTTACAGGTTGGCCCAAGTTTATGAAGAGACAACTGTTGTGTTTTAATCTTCTGAAGACAAAACTCATTAGGCCTATTGATTACAGATACAACACTCATTTGTTTTCCATATTGTTTTTTAATTAAATTTCATCAGTTGTATGGCAAATCAAATTAAAATTAAATCATTTTTACTGGTTAATAATGTGCAGAGTTTGCATGTAAATGCACAGGTGCTTTGTCATTATCTTATAATATTTATTATAGTGCTTTCTTAAAACTAAATAATAGTCTTAAAAGTATTTACAATAACCAAAAAATTTTATCAAAGAAACATATTGCACAGTCTGAATGAAACGTTTAATAAAGATAGCTTAAGCAGATTAAAAATAGTTACAATCTAAATGTAAAGTACAGTAAATGTAAATTGCCAGAATTTCCTATCACTTAACTTAGGTAAATCATAATAGAGTTACTGGTCTTTTGATGCTAAAATTGTCCAAGCACCATTTTAAGAATAAATAGGTCATTTTGTTGGCCTGGTATCTTTGTGTAGAATTACAGCACAAATTACTTTTACACACAGGCATAAAACACCTCTTACTGAAATGTAGAATAAAATTGTCTTTCTGACAATGTAACACACACTTTGGAAATGTTACATGTTTTAAAACTTGCTTTTAATAAACACGCTTTATGACAGTAAATATATATTTATTTATGTTTTTGCAGACTTGCCCTGGGAGATGTGAGGAGTTCAAACACTGCGTCCAGTGTCAGGTGTACAAAACTGGGCCATTCACAGAGGAGGAATGTGCCAAGAATTGTACTTTTGTACCCAACGTTGTGGATGTTGTGGAAGGTATAAAATAATGTAACCTCTATACGTTTATTGTAATATAGGTGCCTGATGGAACTGAAGTTTATGCCTGATAAAGCCACTGATTTTATTTCTGTTTACCCATGCTATGAGAAATTGAACTGTTTTTTCTATGGTAACGCTCCAAACCCTAGTCTTGTCACTATTTAATGCAAACTTTTTGTTAGATAGCATTATTAATTAATTGGTAACCCAATCACAAATTGCATCTGGTCAGAGAATAAATCTAGCTTGGAATCGAACCATTGACCTTTAGAGATTCAGAGTTCATACTCAAATTGAATACCAGTCTATGAATAATTTTCATCACTGGGGTTTGAAACTTTGTCAAAAAATTATACAGACGAGTTGACAAGTAACATATAACAACAATGTTGGCCAAGTGATACTATTACTGGTTATAAATTTGTGGTGTTGCCGGCAGATGATGGTTCATTACTAGTCGGTTAATACCTCAGTGATACTACAGCTTCAAGTTTTACAAGCTTTATAGAATATTAATTACGAGCAAAAGTCACTAAGTCCTAAGTTTTTGTTAAACAGAACTTGTAGACATCCTGAGTATATAAATATACATATCATAAGTGAAGTGTACAAGTTTGATCTTATATGATACAAACATTTGAAGTTTTTGTTATGAGTAAACTTTGTTAAATTTTCAGACCGTGAAGACCTAGATGAAAATTACTGTACTTACTATGATGAAGATGACTGCCGCTTCGCTTATGTGTACTCCTACGATGAGAAGGGAAAGGAGATAATCACGGCACAGAAAGAGAGGGAATGTCCTCCACAAGTTTATGTCCTAGGTGAGTTAGTCAGTGAATAGGTGGATGACATGTCCAAGCTTCATAATAGAGATTTTAAAACTAATTATTACTTCAATCATGAAAGGGTTAAAACAGGTAAGAGCGTAAAGGGTTGATGCCAAGAATTTTTTAAATGAAACCACTCTCCAAATTAAAGCCTTGCCTTAGGAGGTGAGACTGGCTTATGTGAGTCGGTGGCTCAGTTGGAAACGTCACTGACTTCTGGCCCAAGGCGGCCATGTTGTGGGTTCAGATCCTGGTCACTGCTGCTACTCCTTGCTTTGCTGGATACAATCCTCGCACATGTCTTAGCCTATGTGGACGGGCAAATGCAAGATTAATAGAGGCCGCCAACCTCTTTTTTTTGTAAAAAGAAAAGAAAAATATGGCAACTAAGAAAATGATTGCTACCAATAGTTCTCAAAATCAAAGGATTTATCAAACCTGAATTTAATCAGTATAATATTAGTTTTGTTGGAAACTTGCCTTTTTGCCAACTTCTTAGTTAAATTTGAATTATTTTTTAAACCAACGCTGATGAATAATTTTTTAAGTTGGTTGATAGTAGATTTAAATGTTAATTTCATTTTTGAATACTTTTGTGCTTGAAACCCATCTGACCATTGTAATTTTGAAAAATAAATAGCTGTCCGTTCACAAGAATGTTAAGTTACGCGAAATGTGTTCAGTTTAAACATTTAACAGATAAGAGATAACTAAGACAAAATTCAAAGCATATGACCATGACTTTTTAAAATCTGGCAAACTAATTTTAATATGTACTAAAAATCTAAACAAATGTGGAGTAGGTAAAACTTCAAGGGATAAGAGAGCTAAATTAATTGATAACCATTTAGTAGCTCATTGAATAGTTTTTCAACTTAATTACATTGGAAGCATGTGTATCACTTTAACCATAGATAAAACATATTCCCTTAGTAGATTTCTCATCCTTATGGAACAGCTGAAGACAATTTTATTGTTAGTTCTGTATGGTGTACTGTAGAGGTCGTGTTTTGTTTACGATTTTTTCTTGTTATTTAAGTAATTTAAAACCTCGTTTAACCAAATAATACAAATTAATCATAGGCTAAACTAACTCGTCCCCAACAAATAACAAACACAATAACTCGTCCCCTAGTCCAACAGGAAAGCACAAATAAAGAAATTAACCCTAAAATAATAGAAACAAAATTTTGTCGACACTAGCGCCCAGTGTCACCGTACATGAACTAGACACGAAAAACGAGCTTCAAAATTTGCAATGGGATGAGGAAGCTACTTGTGTTGATTAGTCTTTGCTTTAACTCTTTAAATTATTTTCAAAATTTTAGACACAAAAATTATATTTTTGAAAATGAGTATATTTTTACCAACAAAATAAATGTTGATTTCTAGAAACTATTACTAGATTACAGATTAACAAATTTATCAACATAAAGTTCCCTTAAAATTGTTTCTCAATTCCAATAGATTTCTAACACAATCCTCTTAATTAACCTGGAGAAGAAAGTTGTTAACGAGCTAGCAGATTGCCTTAGGACATTTTTAATGACTTCACCAAGGAAACTGAAAGATGTGCGAGGTTCATTTCTTTTGTTGGTATTTGAATTTGATATTATGTTAGATGTCTATTACCAATGTAATATTTATTGTTATATTTCCACTTAAAAGTGTTAGTGAATCAATTTCCTGGTGTGGGCATTTTTTTGCTTACCTATATCTGGAACTTTCTGTGATTTGCCATTTCCACCCCTCTCAATTTGTTAACTTGTAACTTCATTCATATATATTTGTGAAATATAAAAAAAAAACTTCTTTTTAGGGTTTTGCATTGCCAATGGGAATTTTATTTTTATACAAACAGTCTCAACCTTTTTTGTTACAACCTATCTATATAATAATGACCTTTTGGTAGAGATAGGTTTATTGCTATGACATTTACAAAGTTATATTTTTTTATTTTGAAAAGGGAGAGAGTAAAGCTAACTTACCTGAGACAAATCTATTTCAGGGACTTAATACACAAATATAAAAAAAAAACACAAAACATAACCCTGATATGTCGTCCTAGTACAGGAATTTCTTCAGAGAGTATATTAAATATGAAAAAAGATTTTTGTCTTAAATCATCAGTATTGTTTCATTATATTTTATCTTTCCTCTATTTTCTCGGGTAAGCTCTTTGAACTCTTATCCCTTTTCAAAATAATTCCTAATCAACTTGGCTTGCGTTTAAAACTCATAACCTTTTTTATTGAATGTAACTTATTAAACACAACTTTCTTGTTTATATTATTAAAAGAATATCGAAACTCTGGATAGGAGAGTAATTCCAGGATTTCCTCTTGATAAACATTAAACGCTTGCGGTAAAGTACTGCTCTGTTTTCTGTTAAGCATGCCTGTTTGTAGCAATGCAGCCTCATAATCAGTGTTGCCACTTGCAGGTATTGTACTGGGAGTGATCGGGGCAATAGTGTTGATTGGATTGGCACTACTGCTGCTGTGGAAGTTGGTTACCACCATTCATGACCGGAGGGAGTTCGCCAAGTTTGAGAAAGAGAGGTCCATGGCAAAATGGGATACGGTAAGTTAAATCAAAATATTGTTTTAGTTTTTATTATTAATTATTTATGACATATTTATTTTCCGGTGGCATACAGCAGTTGCCATTCAAATTAGTGCTGAGTGTGGTATATAGCCCCATACGTCCAATTCGACGTCAATTTCTTTATTTTTAATGAGATGATTGTTATAATACTTAAATTTAAGAAGCTTTTAAGACTAATAAACATGGACATGGATTTGAAGAAGGTAAAAAGAAAACCATTAGATGGGTCTAGTGGAAAAATTCCTAACAAAAAAATCTATTTTCAAAATGAGATGACCCATGGGACTTAAAAAGCCGTAATCAAAATAAACTATGAACCAACTATTAGGCCTAACTGTTTAAAAGTTATTTTTTATGAAGCGCCGACACTTGTATCATAACGTTTTGTGCCAATACAAATTTTGTTATTGCTAATTTATTCAAGCAATTTAATCGGACATAATAATTTACCGCAACTTTGCAGGGTGAGAATCCAATCTACAAGCAAGCCACTTCGACCTTCAAGAACCCGACTTACGCTGGAAAGTGATCTCCTAGTGCCATTGCTTCTAAGTAACCTGTGTTCATCTTAAATTAGAACATATAGTAGAACACACCTTCTGTCAATTGATTTTGTGGAACATTTTTTCATCTCCTTTAAACATGTGACAAGTTTCTACATTGTTTTCTATGTCATAAAAAGTAGGGGAAATAATTTGTTGACTGATTCTGTAGCTTTAAAAGTTCACCAACGTAAAATTCCTGGAGTTTAAGAAATGTTTCATAAAATTATTTTACATCCATTTGATCCACGGAGGTGTAGATGTCTAGTTTCTCTTTCTTAGATAACATAGTGAGTAGCAACACTTTTCACTCCTTATGTGAGAAACATGTGTGAAACAAAATATGCACATTTTGTAGTTACTTGGTAAAACTACCAATTTAGGCCTATCTCCTATAAAAGGTTAAGCATTATAAATTACAATTTCACATTTTATTACTAAATACAATTTTTATTTTAACAGCAAAATTAAGAATCGTATTGTACAGTTGCGAAAAATTGTATTTAGAATGTCCAGCACAGTAAAAAAATGTTAAACATTAGTAACAACTGGAGAATAAATTGCAAATAATGTGCTATGCATCCTAATGATGTTTCAGTAATTATAAGTCAATTAATTTGTACATAACACTGTAACATATTTTTAAGCATAGTTGATTAATTGTTATTATTATTAATTTAGATGTATTTATTTAAGATTATGTTAAGATATGTAACAGACTTGCTATTTATAAAGGCTTTGTTAAAGCCTGCCTCAGTCATTTTAGTGTTAGATGTACATAATGGCCTTTAATAACCTTTACGCCTGCTTTTAGAGATTTTTATGTCATTATTCATGTTGCTTTTGATGTGAGATTTTATTTATTCTCTTTGTATTATTGCAAATGTTAATGTATGTACTTATAGTTTTTTACTTAAATGAACTAACTTTACAATTGTGTTAACTAGTTTGCTATGAAGCAGAATAGAAAGATTTGAGCTTCCCACAGAAATAATTCAGTAAAGTGTCTTCCACAAGTACAAGCAAACATTTTGTAGACTTAATAAAACAGCCTTTAAATGCCTTAAGGATTGCCTTCCAACAATTTTAGAAATGTACTTTTGGACCCGGATTTAATATTTCATATGTATACTTAAAATAGCCTTTGTTTTTCTCTTTATGTATTAAAAGGTTATTATTTTTATACAAATGACATAAAAGACTTTTATTTTGCCTAGAAAAAAAAACTTTATTATTTTTTATATGCTTTTTTGGGATTTTATATTTTTAAAGATTAAGAACGTTTTAAGGAGTTTTATTTTATATAGCCCACTTATTTTGTTGATAAACTAAACAGATAATTTATATATTGATTTTTATGCAAAGTCTGGCTGGATAATAAATTTCTCCTATTGCTGGTTTCTAATGTAAATTTTTCCTGTTGTTTTTAGTTTGGTTGTATTAATCTAATAACAAAAATGAAAATAAACATGAATAAATATTGTGTTTTACATTATTTGCCCTTTTAAAATAATTTTATATACTTCAATAAGGGTTTTCCATGTTACATCCCTTTTCAAACCTTCCTATTAAACAGATTTTTATGATTGAGAAGTAATTTTGGAGCTTATGATCTAGCATACCTTCAAATCGTAATGAAAAAGGTAATTTGTAAAAACATTAAACACATATACATTTTTACAAGGACATACCGGTAAATGAAAACAACTTAGGAGTTGGGATGTTAAGAAGATCATGGCCATAATGTATCTAAGTTGTTTTCATTTATGTCCTTGTAAATATTTATATGTGTTTAATGTACAAATGATACCAAATTGACAATATCTCAAATAAGAGATGGAGAACAAAAAGGTTTAGCTTGCCTATGAGGCAAAGGAGAAAGGACTGACGATAACGTTTTGACATAGAAACCTAGGTCTCAACTCAACTTAAAAATAAATTGGATCGTATGGTAAGCCTTAGATTTAACTATGTTCAGTAACAATCCAGAGGCTATATCTCTAAATTTATTTATTTCATACCAAGTTATTTATTATTTATACTATACTATCTGCAGTACTATCCTGATAATTATACCAATATTTGTGAATTACAAGGCAAAAATGTGGTTTGCAGTGGCGTACTATCATAATTGGGGGTGTCCTTTTTACACACATACAGGGTGACACACGGAGAAAAAGATAAGATCAAGAGTGACTCTCCCTTGAAGTTAGGCACATTGTTTACTCGATAAAGAGAATGGAGATTTGCCAAGTCTGTCAGTCTTCTAAAGGAGGATGGCATAATTATATCAGCAGTCCAGTCCCCATGCAGCAGGTTGAAGTCACCAAAGGAGGAGACACATGGAGAAGTTGGGCCGGGTGATAAGATCAAGATCTGATCAACACCTTTGCAAAAGTGATCATAATCAGCCAATGGTCTTTGTGGTGGTATGCAAGAGGTTAGAATTAGCACATTTATTAGTGGGTTTTGGAGACTTAAGAGTCGGCAGGAGTCAATAAAAGCTTTGTTGTTGACCGTCAGATGCCAGGCGAAACAGTGGTTGTCCGAGCGCCAATCAGCAAAAACACGCGTTCACATTGAGCCGTATTAATAAAGAAGAGGTAAACCTTTTACTTGCGAAAATTCGAGGAAATCCTTCTATCTGTATTAATAAAAACTCAAGCAAAACCTTTTGCTTTAGAAGTAAAAGGTAATCTATAGAAATTTGAGGTTTTGCTCATGACTTGAGTAAATGGTTATTAATAAAACTGACCATTTAATTTATCTTTGAAGTAAATCCTTCAAAAATGATGCATCTGAACAGTAGCAGATTATACGTTTAAGTAAAAGGTGTGTGGTGGTTTTACAGTGTGGTGCTAAATTTTAGCAAATTTCCTAAATAGGGAAAAAGCTATTCCGTAGGTCTCATGGTAAGACCTAGACCCATGACCCATTTACTTTTCCGTTTTCAGGTCCCCAGAGGCCAAAAACCTCCTCCGTTCAAATTCATATATATATGTGCCCGTTAGCACGATAACTCGAGCAAAGGTGATCCGATTTTGATTAAATTTGGTGCAAACGTGTAAACCTACGTTTATTCTAAGGGATTCGCAAATCAGCATAATAGGATATGGAAACGGGGGTTTATGGGCGGTTTTATGGGGTAATTGGATTTTAACATTTTTTACCCTAAAAACATAGAATTTAGCAACTTCTTTCCAAGCCATTTTGTAGAGTTTATAAAAACTATTAATTTAGTATATCGAAGCAACGTTATACGCCTAATGGCTACGGAGAAAATTCAAAAAAATTGTAAATTTAAAATTTCCATGTTATATTTATGGAGAAATTTTTAAACTGTTGTAGTTTTCTTGTTTATGAGCATTTTTTGATCAAATTTGCATTCATTTCATACTAAACTATTTCATTTTGCAAAAAAAACACCTTTTTACCCTCCCTGTAGCAGTAAACCTAAGTACTCAGTTAAACTAAAGCTTTTTAAATAGGGAATGGATGTGATATTGGAGACATTTTAGTGTACATCCAATCAGGCAAATGGAAATTTACTTTGTCTGCAGGTTTGCTGTGGCGGGAGTATTTTGTTTACCTCCTATACTAAGCTATCAACATTTCAATAAAAACACACCTCAATACCTTCCTTGAATCAGCAAACCAAGGTACTCATTAAAATTAGGCTAATATAATTTAAATAGGAAATAAATCTGACAATTTTCAGGGAATATTTTAGAAGAAATCCAGCCAGGTAAAAGGAAATTTATTTCGTCAGCAGCTGCGGCAAGGGTTCCTGTGGTTATACAGTACTGCATGCTATCATTGACTATATATGCTATCTACAAAGCATATATAATGATTTCTATAAACAAATTTATGTACCCGACTAACTATTATCATCAACCAAATTCTATGTCTAGAAAGGGATTAAGATTCTGGGGGTAAAATCCGGGGTAAAATTCCGGCCCACACACTCTAGATTTTATAAGTTAGTTTGTGATGATTAAATTCAAAGCCGGATGCAAAACCATTACACGGAGTTGGCACAGCCTTCGAGGGGTATCAGTAGACAAAAATAGACAGGATCAGACGTGTAACATGTTATGTTCCTAAAGAACCATTTACTTCCGAACAGAAGGATTTGCTTGGAAGTAAAAGGTAATCATTATTAATACGGTTTGAAGGATATGCTTTTACTTTTACCTTTTACTAGAAGCAAATGCTTTTGCTTCATACCTTTTCCTTTTGAGCATATCCTTCTTTTTATTAATACGGCTCAATGAGCCGTATTAATAGAGATGAGGTAAACCTTTTACTTGCGAAAATTCGAGCAAATCCTTTAATCTGTATTAATAAAAACTAAAGCAAAACCTTTTGCTTTAGAAGTAAAAGGTAATCTATAGAAATTTGAGGTTTTGCTCATGACTTGAGTAAATGGTTATTAATAAAACTGACCATTTAATTTATCTTTGAAGTAAATCCTTCAAAAATGATGCATCTGAACAGTAGCAGATTATACGTTTAAGTAAAAGGTGTGTGGTGGTTTTACAGTGTGGGGCTAAATTTTAGCGAATTTCCTAAATAGGGAAAAAGCTATTCCGTAGGTCTCGTGGTAAGACCTAGACCCATGACCCATTTACTTTTCCGTTTTCAGGTCCCCAGAGGCCAAAAACCTCCTCCATTCAAATTCATATATATGTGTGCCCGTTAGCACAACAACTCAATCAAAAGTGATCCGATTTTGATTAAATTTGGTGCAAACGTATAAACCTACGTTTATTCTAAGGGATTCGCAAATCAGCATAATATGATATGGAAACAGGGGTTTATGGGCGGTTTTATGGGGTAAAAATTGGATTTTAACATTTTTTACCCTAAAAAGATAGAATTTAGCAACTTCTTTCCAAGCCATTTTGTAGATCGAAGCTATATTATGCACCTAATGGCTACGGAGAAAATTCAAACAAATTGTAAATTTAAAATTTCCATGTTATTTTTATGGAGAAATTTTTAAACTGTTGTAACTTTCTTGTTTATGAGTATTTTTTGATCAAATTTGCATTCATTTCATACTAAACTATTACATTTTACAACAAAAAAAAAACACCTTTTTACCCTCCCTGTAGCAGTAAACCTAAGTACTCAGTTAAACTAAAGCTATTTAAATAGGGAATGAATGTGATATTGGAGACATTTTAGGTAACATCCAATCAGGCAAATGGACATTTACTTAGTCTGCAGGTTTGCTGTGGCGGGAGTATATTTGTTACCTCCTACTAAGCTATCAATATTTCAATAAAAACACACCTCAATACCTTCCTTGAATCAGCAAACCTAGTTACTCATTAAAATTAATATTATTTAAATAGGAAATAAATCTGACAATTTTCAGGGAATATTTTAGAAGAAATCCAGCCAGGTAAAAGGAAATTTGTTTAGTCTGCAGCTGCGGCGAGGGTACCTGTGGTTATACAGTACTGCATGCTATCTACAAAGCAACATTTTGGAAAATATGTATAATCTATGGTATAATATGATGATTTCTATAAACAAATTTATTATGTACTTGTACCCGACTAACTATTGTCATCAACCAAATTCTATGTCTAGAAAGGGGTTAAGATTCTGGGGGTAAAATTCCGGGGTAAAATTCCTGCCCACTAGATTTTATAATTTAGTTTGTTATGGTTAAATTCAAAGCCGGATGCAAAACCATTACACGGAGTTGGCACAGCTAAGCCTTCAAGGGATATCAGTAGACAAAAATAGACAGGATCAGACGTGTAACATGTGATGTTCCTAAAGAACCATTTACTTCCGAGCAGAAGGATTTGCTCGGAAGTAAAAGGTAATCATTATTAATACGGTTTGAAGGATATGCTTTTACTTTTACCTTTTACTAGAAGCAAATGTGTAAACCTACGTTTATTCTAAGGGATTCGCGAATCAGCATAATAGGATATAGAAACGGGGGTTTATGGGTGGTTTTATGGGGTTATTGGATTTTAACATTTTTTACCCTAAAACATAGAATTTAGCAACTTCTTTCCAAGCCATTTTGTAGAGTTTAAAAAAAACTATTTATTTAGTATATCGAAGCGATATTATGCGCCTAATGGCTACGGAGAAAATAAAAAAAAACTGTAGATTTAAAATGTCCATGTTATTTTTATGGAGAAATTTTTAAACTGTTGTAGTTTTCTTGTTTATGAGCCTTTTTTTTATCAAATTTCCATTCATTTCATACTATTACATTTTACAAAAAAAAACCCCCTTTTTACCCTCCCTGTAGCAGTAAACCTAAGTACTCAGTTAAACTAAAGCTATATAAATAGGGAATGAATGTGATATTGGAGACATTTTAGTGTACATCCAATCAGGCAAATGGAAATTTACTAGTCTGCAGGTTTGCTGTGGCGGGAGTATTTTGTTTACCTCCTACTAAGCTATCACAATTTCAATA